CAACAGCAAAATGTCATGATCCATGGGACCTCCTGTTAGGAATAGTGCAGTGTTTATAGAAATGCAGTGAGTCTGAGAATGCGATACGTAAGCATTACTGGAACTGCAAACACAAGGCCTTACCGGACCCCTCTGATCCCAACTGCTGCTGAATGTTAAGTATAGGCAAGTGATGTATTGTCCTAAAGCTCTCCTGAAGACTGGGAGAGCAGGGTTTGGTGTCAATGAGGATGGGGCTGTGGAACCCCAGAAATAAATGGCTTCTGACCATGAGAAAACATAAGCAAATAGAAATGTAGTAGTGACTACAGTGGGTACAGGGAGGAAAGAAGAGAACTGTGGTAGATAAAGAACCTATACTAAAGTTTTGGGTTGATAGACATGGACGCATTTTGATGTCAGAAAAGGAGAACCTTTAGGATATCACTGTGTGAACTCCAGATGTGACAGCGGACTCTGTTTTCTCTGAAAAGTCCAGAGGAAAGCCTGTTTCCAAATGTTCAGTCTTAGCTTAGAAATCACCTGAAACCATATAGGAACCACCTACTTTGTGGAGTGTTAAAACATTTGTCTCACTAGTGTTACAGGCAGGTTTTGAGACGCATGTTCATGTATCCGTGAGTGAAGGGGCACACAACTCTTTGAAGGAAAAATGTAAGAACATGGCTATAGTTTGTAAGACATTTCTTCAGCCATTTTTAGCAGTTGAAATTAATTGTGTTTTAAAGATTTTAGGTGTTGATTTTCAAAGTATAAAGTAACATCTTTGAGAGGCCAAAACAAATACATATATCCTTGCGAATCTCTGTTGTTCCTGTAAAGGGGGATAAGTGTATGTGCGAGTTGTTCGTAAGACAGCTAAATAAATGTCTAGGCAGATAAACTAAATTAGGATGTTTTCATATGTAACTGTCGTCTCAAAATTTGGGTCTAAGCAATAATTTTAAGGCTTCAAATTTAGTATCTCATTAACAGAAATGAGGTGAAGGGAGCACTTCTGCCAGTGCTGTGGTTTCAGTCCCATAATAAATCGGCATAGTGATTTACACAGAGAACAAAAGAAATAGTTTAGAAATTTCTCTCTAATGGAAGTTTAAGTTTTGAAGAACACAGAGACATCTGAAAGGTGAAATTCACAGATTTTTCATGCTTGCAGGTTTTTATAGCCTCTGGTAATGCATGTCCTTACTCTGACATCACATGTATGTGAAAAAATGGATGTAATATTTAAAGATGTCTTTTGACAAAGAAAGTATTTCCATCTCCAGAGGTGAGATTTAGCTTTAAAGGATGATGAGCAGGTTCCAGATGTGTTTTTCAATCGCTGGGCTTTCCTTTCCTTAAGTATTGACAGAGGGAAGGTTTTATCAAGGTCTTTGTGATGTGCTTGTTTATAATGAGTAGACATTAGTAGAGCACATCTAAGTGCTTATCGTTAACAGATGACTAAAGAGAGCATATGGCAGGGGAAAGAAATATATATTTGTCCAAGCAATGTGGCTTGTTAACACTCCCACACTCATAAACTGTGTTTACATGTACTTACAATATTTTGCAAATCCTTTTTCTAATCAGCTAAAAATAAAAGCCAAATAATGTTTTTTTCCCCCCAATGTTGGAGTGCCAGGCAAAGTTGATTTAGATTTCTTTTAACAAAGCAATTAAACAGTACATAATATTTTTATAGTATTTGTTTTGCTTCAGCATGACATCTTTACAGCAGCGTATGTGTTATTTTCATTTCACAGTGTTCAGAGTTTTATTGTTACAGAATGCTTTTTGGTTCCCACCTGTCTATCCAAGTATAACTGTTACACAGCTAGGCTACACTACAAGCAATAATACAGGTCAGAATGACCCATGTCAAATCCTGGTCTAGATCAGGTCATGAGGTTTATTTGGACCATAAGATTTCCCTCTGCTTCTATAGGATGAAATCATCACGCAGGTTACAACATCTGCCAATAAACAGTCTGTAAGTGCAAAAGTGTCTGAACTGTTAACGCAGTCCAGCTCCCATTAGGGCAAAAAAGGAGTCTTGCTGCTGATGTCATTTAGGAGGTAGATGGAGAAATGCTGGGGAAATCTGTACAGCTCTTGACATACAAAGTTTCTGATGATCCCTGTGGTCAGGGGTAGAGCATTCACCCACCTTAGCATTATTAGAAGTAAGAGAATTATAGTTTAGAGATGGATTTGGACTGTTGAATACTTTTCAGAAGAAAGCATTTATAAAGAAAACTGCACAGAAGAGCTGCATTTACTTTTGATTTTCAGGATATTTCTAGCAAATTTTTGTTAAATATTTATATCTGGATCCACGTATTGTCCTTCATAAAACAGTTTATTCTTGCAATTTAGCTTCAATAAAGTCATAATACTGCTTTAGGATATGATAGACTAGTGCTGTGGGATTGAATTATAAAGAGATTAATTTTAGCTACCGGAGATAATTGACCCTATAATTCCTATCACCCCTAATCCCAGTTCAAATGAACCAGTGTTAAAAGTGGCAATACTCACAATGTAGACAAGGTCATGACAGCTAGAATTGTTTTTTACTACCAATTAGATTTCCCACTTGGTGCGTTTGACTAACATTGTCGTAGAAAGGGATATCAGGCATGGAAATACAGTTTCTTTAGAGCCACACAGGCACTGGAACTGATGGGCAGTTTGCTGTACATTTCCCAGTGTACAGAGTCAGAATGCGATTGAGTGCTGACCCCTAAAATTTGAATTCACATGGGGATTTAGAACATGTTTTGATCCATAATAGCGCTAGGAACAAGCTAAATAATTTGAATCTGGAAGCAAACTTTCTTGAATTTCAACAATGTTAATATGTGGTGGGTCTAGCAGGTTTGGAATTGTCTCTTGGGGTAATACTGCAGCTGAGGTGTATTTCAGTTGAAGAATCAGAAAAAAAGTGAGGTATTGACTGAATAGAGAGTTGTTCAAAAACAAATCATGTTGATATTTAGCTGCAAATGACATGGAGGTTTCAAAAAATACGAGAAAGAGATAAATGGATTTTAAGTATGATACATCTTAAAAATCCCCTCAAGTGTTAGCGCCAACTTCAAACATATTAGCATAAGGACTCTTATGAAAAAACAACAGAACAACAATACTTTTGCATAGCACGTTCAGTATAAGATTATTTTTCACATTATTACTAGTTATCCATCAGCATTTTTCCAAGCATTTACAGATTTAAGTTTTTGCAGTAAGCTGAAACTGCATGATAAAAAGTGGCAGATAATGATAAAAAGCAGATGTATATGCAAGCCTAGCTAGAAGGAGCAAACTATACTATTACTGCCCCTCCTGTGAAGTTAATCCTGTTTCTTTTAGCTATTTCTTCGTTAGTTAATGAGGTCTTGAGAAAAAAAAAAAAAAAGTGTGTTTGAAATGGTGTTTTTGCATCCTTGCCTTTAGGAACTTTTTCAAATATTCATAGAAGAGTTTGCCCTTGGAAGGTGCATTATGTGTGAGTTTAGACAATAATTACTTCAAATCTGGGTGGTCAGCAACCTGCAACCAAAATGGACAAACACAGCAGCTAACCGCTTCCCTCATTCAGATTCACCACACTGGTTGGAGTTGAAATGTAAAATAGTGGAGAAAGGAGATATTTTAATGATTAGGTTAAAAGAAAGAAACAAACTTGAAGGCTTAGATCACAGATCTGCTAGCATGAATTAGATTTGAATTTGGATGCACTTTGTGGTTTGCAATCTTATTAATGAAAGATTTTCTTCTCTCTCACATTCTATTAACAATCAATCTCTGATCAGAAGCAAAGAGTTTGGCTCCTGTCTTTGTGAGATGAGTATCGGTGGACTTATATCTACATCCCATCTCTGTCACCTCCTCCAGTGCACTTAGTACCAACCAACATCTCTGTTGACCTGGGGGTAGTGAGTCAGGGGTGACAGTGAGAGGGGCCCCCATCTCCTGGAAGCCTTCTCTTCATGTTGATGTTGTAGCACACTCCGAGGGTGGAAATCTGGGAGACCCTGCATCTGCCAGTTCTTATGGCTCTCTTCTCCATGAGTACAGGAACTGCAGTTTCCATTTTCAGATTGATATCTGGCATCGGTGCAGTATTTATATTCTTTTACTGAAAAAAAACCAATGCCTTTATTTATCCACAGAACTGCTGAAAGAGTGAAACTGGAAGTGTTGGATTATTCTTTTCCCAGAGTTGCAGTTTACTCTATTTCAGGCAGCATTCTTAGAATTTCACTCTCCAGAGGTAGAATTGGATCTTCCAGGCATCTTCTGGCGTTATCTTGTGAATAGGGAGAGAAACCATCCGCCCCCAGCACTCTCCGTATGTACCTAATGTACTAGGCAAAGGCATTACGTGTCTACCAGCTCTTAAAAAGTTTGCTGTGGATGCAAGAGGACCATCCTTCAGCTCAGCTCATTGATCACTTCCAGGCTGTTGCTTCTCAAATTGCCAACTACAGAGAAGTAATTCAAGGCCGTGAGCAGTGTCTCCATGGTGTAGGTGACTAGCAATTCGATTAAACCCATTCTGGAAAAGTTTCAAAACTGCTTATTTTTTTGTCTCATATTCAATCTTCAAATGTTATAAACTTAATATTTTATTAATTTCTACCTTCATTATTTCAGTTTTATCGCCCTCTCTCTTTTCTTTTGTTGAATTTCTAGTTGGTTTTTTTTCTTCTTTCTTTCTGTAACAACCACCACAACAAAAATCAATACCACAGGAGTTCTGAGGTTTTTATTTGATGAATGTGAAGCATTTGCCTGTTATGTTCTTGTCTTCTTTTTTGCCATGAGGACGTATAGGACATGTTGACAGCCAATATTAATAAGCTTAACACTAATACTGGCAGTTACTTAGTACAATTTTTGGCTGTGTTAAGTGGTCTGTAGGGAATAGTAATGCTATCCTTTAAAAGAAACTGATGTCACAGTTGCATCCAGAATTCACTGGGGTTTCTTTTATTGTTTTTATTTTCCAGGTGATTCATATAACGGGCCGGTTACGTCTGAGAGTGTCACTGTCCCACGGACGGACAGTGCCCAGCCAAATCATGGGACTTGTTGTCGTTGCTCATGCTTTGCCACCTCCTACAATTAATGAAGTCAGGATTGACTGCCACATGTTTGTCACTCGTGTGAATATGGACCTCAATATCATTTACTGTGAAAATAGGTACAGCTTTTAGCTCCTTTTTTTCTATGTTTTAGCTGTGTGTATTCTTTGTTCCATGGGCTTGGCAAAAAGTTTTGAAATTTGTGACTCCTGCAATGTCATCCTGGTGTTGTATGAGAGCATTGAGTTCACTCTCATCTTCATCACCTTCACTTTCACTAGATTCTTAGAAGATAAGAATAAATTAAAAACTATAATTTGCAGGATATCTTGCTGGAGTAGGGGAGGATAGACCAGGAAAGATTCCTCTAACCTTTCCTGCTTTTTACAATCTCTCACAGTCCCTCTCAGAGGCAAGATTTGGGACTAGACAGACGCTGGTCTGACCTGTATGGCCGTCCTTATGCTCCCCTGTTCTCCTCTCCACAAGTCTTTCTGTCTGAAGTTTTAAAGTTTTCTGGTTTTGAACTAATTTGCAGATTACAGCACATCGTGCTCAGTGTTTAATGGAACAGAAGCACAGATGGCCTAGATAGTAGGCTAGAGAGGTGGGATCTGTTGCAGTAAGAGGTGGGAAAACTGTAGAATAAAATTGGTTAAGGGCATAGTGGGAAAGACAGCAGGTGTGGGGGGGGGGGGGTGGGGGGGCTGTGTTCGATGTGATAGCGACAAGTGATCTAGTAAGGTGGGAGATAGGATTTAAATTCAGCTGTCTACTCCCTGCAGGGCTGGGCAGCTGTAGCATCGGGGGGTCCTCATGGGGGTGTATCAGGGCAGGGCCAGGCAGCCAGGGCCCATCCAACCGCCCCAGCCAGGAGCAGGGCAGCCGGGGGGCACTGGGACAGCACCAGCCTTGGGCTTTGGGCACCTCCCTGGGGACTGGCCAAGGGCAGGCCATGGACGTGGGCTGGGCCTGGCTCGGCAGGGCCTGTGGCTGTGCAGGGCAGGGCTGTGGGGAGCATTGCTGAGGCAGGGTGGCAGGGCCCCAGGGACTGACATGGGGTCCTGGGCCCTGAGCAGCATGGGGGGAGAGCTGGGCGGCTGACAGGGGTTCCTGGACCCTGAGCAGCGTGGGGGGAGAGCTGGGCGGCTGACAGGGGTTCCTGGACCCTGAGCAGCGTGGGGGGAGAGCTGGGCAGCTGACAGGGGGTCCTGGGCCCTGGGCAGGGTGGGGGAAGGCCCCCAGGGGCCTGATCAACACCATTAAGGCTTACTGGTGCCCTCAGGGCCCTGAAAAATAAAAATAAAATTTAGGGAACCAGTATTTAGAGCAAAGTGAAGGTATCTGAAAAGAAAGATACAAGCAATAAAGAAGTTTGGGTCCATTGATGGAAGTCTGAGGTATCAGGGAAAGGTTGGAAAGGAAGACAGAGGGTAATGCAGCTTAAAGAAATTTTGTCAAGGAGACCTAAAATCAAAATATGGAACAAACAAGTTGACTAATGCAGGCTTTTCATGTGACAGCAGCCGTGCCATATTATAAGGTAAGAGCGGAAGCTCTCTGATATGAGCAATTATAATTGCTCAGTCATCATGGAATACCTATGATCAGGATAGCACATCAATAAAAACTTTTTTTAAAAGGGATAAACAAATGCTTTCTTGAATCAGGGCCTTAAACAATTTAAAATAATCTTGGATTTCAGTTATGAGGTTATCTTTGCTGTCACATTGCTGAACTGCCACAATAGTATTAATATTACTTGGCTATTAGAGAGAACACTTCATCTGAACTGCCAAAGCATTCTCTAAAAGAGAATACATTATTCTCATTTTTAAGCTTGGAAAAACTGCTCCATAGAAAGTGGCTTGTACAATGTCACAGAGAAAGCTGGTAACAGTATTAAACTTTGGGCTGAGCTTTTGCCTGTGACTACCCAGTGAGCATCTAGATTCTGTATAATCTGGCAGCTGGTGAACAAGCTCTGGGGATTAGCAGTAGGATCTAGAAGAAACCTTTTGCCTTAGTCTTTGATTTGACTGTGACCTACCTAGGTGGTAATGGAAAGCTGCTACCACTGCAGAGCTCTTCAATGGCCTCTGTGAAATGAGTTGCTGGTATCTGTCCAGTTCCTAATGAACAGATTTCCTTTTAACAAAATCACCTGCACTTACTGTTACCTTCATTGGCAACCTCAATAAAAAAGCCAGGAATCAAATGGATGTGAAAAATGAACTATTCTGTCAGGTCAAGTATGATATGAATTTGTGGGCTGTGTTAGAAAGATTTATACTTTCTCTGCCATCAGTTTGGCATTTTTATGAGCCCTAAATTGTGTATGTTTTTTTTAATTAAACGTTTTTCTCAAACCTTCTCTTTACGTTCATGTAGCAATAAAACTTTCAAATGCCTGAGAAAGGCATCACTGAAAAACATAAAATGCATCAGATGTGGAGTGCTGATTCGTAATCACATAGAAAGAGCTGATAACACGTGGTAAACTATGGTAAGCCAGCTGACTTATGCAAGAAAGTGTGGAGCTTACTAATGTTTTTTGCTCATCAAGGTAAAGGCAACATTATAAAGCTACTTTTCCTTGTTTGTGATGGATTTTATCTCCTATGCTAGGGTAGAATGCATACAATGGTACTGAATTTATGTTGCAATATTTCCATTTGTTTCACTGTTAAAAGTAGTTTATAAAAGGAATGTCGAACAGTAGAAACACTTCTGCCGGGTCTGGGAGGTGAATGTTAGCTCACTGAGGCAGCAGGATTTCCACCGATGGAAAATGCAGTAAGATTGACAGGACTTGGATTTCATAGTAGGTACAATGCAGAATATGACTGTAAAAGCTGGAGGAATGGAAAGGACAGAAGAAGGGAAGGAATTAACTGAATAGCCGATTGAAGCTGTCAGATGAATTATCTGGGCCTTTGCCAAGGCCGTTCTCCAAGCTGGGGAAGTTGGGATCTGTATTCTGGGACTGTAGAAAAGGAGATAAACATCCCATTCTGGGTATATGGGCTTGACTCCTGGCACTTGCAGGCAGCCGGGAAATTCTTTGTGGTGCCCCAGTAAAGCAAGCACAACATTGATGAAAACAGAAAAATGGATCCATGCTGGGGAAGCTGTAAGCACTATTTATGGAGCAATGGGGAGTTACTGGCAGCTGCAGGGAGTATGGAGCAGAAGCTGTGCTACTTAACTGAAATGAATGCTCACAGTGGACCATTGGATCAGCAGGGGTGAGATCAATAGTACTCCTAGTTTTCCAAGTGGTTGCCTGCTTGTAACAGCAGGGAGTAGGAGTGACATTACTCAAGTCTTTGGGTGCATCTTGTTACTTTCCTCTGAATGAGGAGATCTGCATCAGAATTCTGGACTCAGCACACAAACTAGTCAACAGTTAGCTTCCCTTTGAGACAAGATCTGTCAGCTAGTGCACTGGCTATTTCTAGCAATTAATATCTTGTTCTGAGAGTGTTAATTGGGGATGTAAAATTTGTTTGCCTAAAATGTGGCATGTTAATCCAGGTCTGTTTTCCAAATGTGGGATTCGTGTAATCTAAACTTTGCTGTCTAGTCTAAAATAGTCTAGAATTTATTAGTCAGTGGAGTGAGAAAAGCACCTGCAGAGGACAAATCATCTTAGATGGTGATAAATAACTAAAAGCAAAATAAAGAGTCTGCTGCTAGAGTACAGCACCAGTCTGGGTATTTTCAGTGTCAACTGTTAGTGATTGGAGACCATCTGGAGAGAGCCTATAGCCCAATTTAATGTGGACTGCTATAGCCATATCTGCTAATATATGCCCAAAAGGAAATAACCCAGTGAACACGGTGTTGTCCAAATGCAAGAGGTCCAATTGGCCTGTTGGCCCTGACAGAGGTTGCCAATAGTTCTTTCAGATATGCAGAAACAGTCTTGTGCAGACAGCTTCAAGCCTGCAAACGTGTGCACAATTTGATCAGCAAAGCATTGTACCATATACCTACCTTTAAATTCCAATCATGTTAACAGTCCTGTAAGTCAGTGGAACCACTGATCTGCTCAAATGTAACCCTGTGCTTATGTTTTACAGGATCAGGTCCTGCCTATCAACTTGATAGGTAGGATTGATTTTGTCAAAGGGCTTGGGAACCACCAGATCTGTCTCCTAACTAGTGCTCTAAGACATAGTATATTTCTTTCTTTTCTCCATGCAAATTATTTATTTTCCATCTTTGGTACCTTTGATGTAAGCAGGAGTGTCATATTTGATGTAATTTCTTCTGTTTCTGGTTTTGATGTCACTGCTTGCCAGTGGATATTCTTTCAGTTTCTTCTTCCACCTTTTTCATCAAAAAAAAAAATCCTGTCCCCTTCATATATCTGTTTGAAACATCTTTTTCTTAATATTATCCCTAAACTTAAGGGACTGTGAATCTGCTTCCACAGTCGCGCTGCTGTGTTCATTTTTATCTGTGAAGACTTTACACAAACATGCTGCTGGAGAGAAACAAAATACAGCTGAGTGAACGGTAGCACTCACAGACGGGGTACATCACAGGGCAGTGGCCTGCCTGGAGATTGCCCCTTTCCACTAGGCTGGGCAGGGTGGGATTTCTTCTCCTTGATCGTGAAGCAGAGCCACCTCCTAACAGAAAACATACAGTTCTTGGGCCAGAGAAGAGACAGCAAAATCTGTCAGTGAGGAGAGCATAGACATGGGAGAGGGAGAGACTTGAGTTCTGGTTCCTGCTTCATAGACTGTTTATTCACTTAGTTTAGTATAAAAGTACACAGTTTGGTATAATAAAATACAGTCCAGGGGACAGGAACCTTTAGAATGTCAGGATCCCTTCCTTCTGGTGAGGTTTCTTATCACTGGGCAGAGCTCCCAGGTCCTTCACCTCCCAGCCCATAATTCACTGTGGAACCACAGTGGAGGAACTCAGCAGGAGGAGTAGGGAGTCCCACTGCCACCGTTCCAGACTTGTCTTTATCCTGGGCAAATTATGTCCTCTCTGAGAAGGTAGGAGAGGTGCTTTTCAACTGTGGTTTGTGATAAACATTAGACAGGTATCCCCAGATGGGTATCCCACATTTGGTTAAGTGCTGTGACTACCAGGCAGTTGTTTGAAAGCACACATCACACATCCTTCAACATGCTTTGTCATGGAAGTGGGAGAAGGCTGTTGTGTTATGTGTTGAACTTGATTTGACAATTTTTACTAGCAAATTTGAGTCCACCTGCTTTACCTGTGATGTTTATCATGTTTTTTTTTTTTTTTTAACTGGGACAAACCACCAGTGCTGCTGTGGTACTGTCTAATGCTTCTGTTCTCCTTCAGTCTTTCTGGTCTATGCGTTCTCAGACACCCAGGCAAACATAGCTCTGCCAGTCAGTGCCTCAGTGGCTGTGTTCACCCCCTCTGCCTGCTGGGAACCCCTTAGACCTACACAGTTCAGTTTCTGGTTTAGCCTCCCCACTGGCCTCCCTCGAGACCACACACCAGTTGTTTCAGCTATCTGGTTATATCAAGATGTGTGATGTTTCTTACAGCTCCCTTAAATGGATGGCAATTATGTCTTACAGTTGCAAAGTGGGCTTAACCCCTAATTCAGGCACTGGAATGGGCTGCCCAGGGAAGCGGTCAAGTCACCATCCCTGGAGGTATTTGAAAGATGGGCAGATGAAGTGCTTAGGGACATGGTTTACTGGTGGACAGGTACGGTTGGACTCAATGATCTTAAAGGTTTTTTCCAACCAAATGATTCTATGATTCAATCATTGCAGAATATTCCAAACCGTTAAAAATTACGCTATTTCTAGAAAACAGACATACTTTTAAATGCTTGTGTGAGCAAGGCATTTTCCAATTGTTTTGTTATTTTCTGTACTGCATTTAAGGACATTGACATCTTGACACTCCATGACAGAGGTTTACACCTGCACGCAGACACACACACACAGACACACACACATGAAGGTCTGCAGAATAGATTTTAAAGTTTCTATGTGCAATAAAAAACAAAGTCCCAGTTGAAAGGACCCAGAGTGAAAGCTGAGCTCCCAAATGAATTAGACTAAAAAAGATAACACCCTGAGGCATCTGTATGTCTCAGCATTTAAATTATATCCCTTGAAATATCAGTTTGGACTTGGTGCCAAGAAATGGTTGAAGAGCTTTTTCATGAATATACCCAATAGAAGACCAATCTGTTGAAATGAAATGTGTCTCTAATCATTTGGTATAAACATAACATGTTTTTACTTTATTATGTAACCTTGAATCATCTTGGTCTTTTAATGAGGATTTGGGATTCTTGCTAATGCTTTACAATTTCATGGAATTATATTGTCTTGGTGTTATGCTACAGGGAGAATATGCACTAGAATTTAACTTTCCACTTATTTAAATGGTTAAAAAGGTTTCAAGGTTTCTTTAAAAAACATTTTCTTTCTTTTTTCTTCTTTAAGGCTGTGTCTTGTTTGTACAGATATTCCACTCAAATTACTATAGTGGTGAAAAAAACTTTTTAGCAGATTTCACTTTCTGAGTCATTTGACAGTTCTTGTATACTTTTCCTTCTTGAATTATAGCCTGTATTTTTTTTTCCTTTTTAGGATTAGTGATTACATGGATCTGACCCCTGTAGATATCGTAGGAAAGAGATGTTACCACTTCATTCACGCTGAAGATGTGGAAGGCATCAGACATAGTCACTTAGACTGTAAGTACTTCTATTTTTTTCAAAATAATCTGGTACAACACTTGATTGCTCCTGAACTGTTCCATTACTATATTCCATGACTGGGGTCTTCATCTTGCACCTGCTTTTTTTGTCATAGGCCTTCATAGAGGGTGGCTCAAATACAACTTTTTGTATGATTTATTTTCAAGTCTTTTTATAGACACATAAGATTGTTCACATATGTGGAAATAAAAAATTATATTTGTATTACCGGAGTTTCCAGCAGCTGCTCATTTACACGTGCTGTGCATTATTTTACTCCTTCAAAGAGGTACTGCTTAGGTGAGAAACTCCCTCCCTAGCACAGAAAATGAACTCCTCTCTTTGTTTTTTATTTCTGAGTCATAACATGGAAGTCAAAACCTGCAGCATATTTGGGATTTCACCAGGTTTTTCAATATAGAAACGAGCTACAGCTCTACCAGTGTTTTAACCACCCTGTATATTAACATCTAAATGGCCCTCATCCCTATAGCATCTAAGTCCCTGTTGTTTGCACACAGGTAGTAGCTGATCAGGATAAGGATAACAGACGTACAAAAATGTTACAAGAAACAAACCTTACCAGGGAGCATGTGCATATGTGTGTGTATGGGGGAAGGGAGGTTCAGCTTGATTCTCTTGTAATTAAACTCTTTGTATTCCTCTTATTAAAAGCCATAGGGCCTAATTCTTTTCTTTTTGAGATCTGTTGACTTCAGTGATGGTGCTCCTGATTTACCCTGGTGCGAAAAGAGACTTAGGCCCATAATCTCTAATTTATCTGTGCCTGCAGTGAAGCCAGATAATTCTTTGGAAGTTTCAGTGACTGACTGCATTTATGATTGACTTGTGTGTTTTTCTTAATGTAAAAGACTATCTGCAAACTGCCTCTTAGATTCAGAGTCCCAGATTTGAATAACTCTGCTCCCCCTGCACCATGTCCTGCTAGCATTTCCTAATAAAAGGGTAGCAACCAAATACAGCTACATATAATTAGCTTCTACAAAACCATATGACTACAATAAAAGGCAGTATAAATCTTCAGTCAGAAAGTACCTTGCTTGATCTGCAAGCGAAGATAGGAGGATAACTGCAACTGGAAAGCAGGAGAACAGGGACAGCTTCTATGATAATATATGGCAGCCAACAACAGTGTCAAGCTCTGTAGAGCTTTCAAATAGTCCCTGAAGTTTCTAAGAAGTGCATTTGGCATAAGAAGGTCAGGTTAGATACATTTCTGTGAAAAAAAAATAAAATCAACTATCCAAAATTATAAACAAAGTAATTTTGCATCATTTACATTTTGAGTGTTTAATATCCAGGAGAATATGTCAGTTGCTCAGAAACGAAGGAACAAATTCGGAAACTTACTTGGTGCTCTTGAAACTGGAAGTCAAGAATGACAAGTTGCACTTCCACTGCACTATCTGACCGAGGAAATAAAAGATATTTATGACTCAGACTTAACATACCACCTGGCAGAGATGAACATCCCATTTGAAAAAGACCTTAATCTTCTGAATGACCACTTCTCTCTGAAATAGAATATGCTTTATGAAACATTCATCTTCAGAAAACTTAGAGACCTATGTAGAGTGTGACTGCAGTGCAGTCCCATGTATAAGCACTGGACTAGGAGTCAGGAGACCCTGCAGACAGGAATGACTTCTAGAAAATCACTTTACCTTACCGTGTTGCTGCTCTCACTGTACGTCCAGTTTAGCTGATTGGATTTCAAGTTTTATAAATACAGGGAGTTTCTCCCATTATCAAGCATCGAGCACAGCGGGGTTCCAAACTTGGGTATGTGATTTTTCACATTATTATTGCTAGGCTAATTTTTTTCAATAGATGAAGCTGGTTACATCTTTTATGTATAGTTGTTTTCTTGGCCTATACGAACAAGATATTCATAGATGCATTCATGTTGAAAGGTACTCTGGGACATCATCTAGTCCCACCTCATGCTCAAAACAGGATCAACACTGATTCACAGCAAATTGTTTAGCACTCTGTCTAGTTGGTCTTGAAATCCTTCAAGGTCAGACTTTCCAGAACTTCTCCAAGTGGCCTGTTCCAATTATCCTTAATAAGGGCTTAATTATCCTCACAGTGATTTTTTTTCCTTCTATCCAGTTGGAAGTTCCCTGTTTTGATTGTGCAGCTCATGGCTCCACTTTTGCAGTAACCTCCTCTCAGGTATGCTGTTAAGTAGCCACCTCTTCTTCAGGCTGAACAGGCCTGGTCCCACAGCATTTCCTCACAGGGCAAGTACTCCAGCTCCTGGCTGTCTTGACAGACCTCTGCTAAGGTCACTGAAGTTTATCAATATATATCCTGTGCTGGGAACCTAAAATTAGATTCCAGATGCCATCTAAAGAGTGATGAGTGAAGGGGAATAATGACTTTCTGTGATCTACTGGCTATACACTTTTTAATACAGCCCATAGAGCAGACTGCTGGTTCATGCTTAGTATATTGTCTACCAGGGCCCCCAGGTCCTTTTCCGCAAAACAACCACCCAGCCAGTCAGCCCCCACCCTGTACCATTGCAAGGAAACAATCCATCCCAGGTTCAGGACTTTGCATTTGTCTTTTCATGTTATTCAAACTCATGCTCTGGATGAAAGATCTTCAAGTTTAAATTGGATTTGGGGATAGCTCAGGAAGTATACCTGCCCATTATAAGTCCTGCAGAACCTGAAGTGGTTCATATCTTTGCCCAGAGAGATGCTTGACTTTTCTAGCATTTGGAAAAAAACTTTGTAATAAAACCAAGAGAAAGAAATCACAAAACCCCAAAACACTTCATAGCGACTTGTCCATCCTAGAAAATCAAGTTCAAAAGAAACTAGAAAGAGAAAATCCTCCTGGTTTAGTTAAAATAAAATTAGGGCTAAAATTCAGGAACTTGCAAACACTGGCTGTAGAAGGTGAAACCTAGCAGAACTGCAGTTCCCCAAAATAGACAATGCAGGAGATTTGCCAGTACAACACAGGAAATAATTGCTTGAGATTACAATGAAATAAAAAAAGCAATATTATGCAGTATTTTGAAGAGGAGCTGGAAGCTTAAGTAATGGTTAGAAAGCCCTGTTGAAAAGTAGAAACGAGACTTGAGAAAGCAGCAAACTGAAAAGGTTGTGTTTGATGGAGGACTGCAGAATGCAGCTAAAAATTTTGATCGATTTTTACAGGAAAAAAAAATTAATAATTTTTAAAGTTTAAAACAAGAGGAATCCCAAATTGCAATGGTAGATCTAAGGGTAAAAAGAAATACAAATAAAACTGCTACTCTGCCTATTCACTGACAACATATCAGAAAAAAATGGAAAAAGTAAGACCAGTACATCCTGCCTTCTCATCCAGGTTATTCAAAGGCATCAAAGAGGAAAACAAGCAAAGAAGAAAATGTTGCACAAAATCACACAGAAAAAATCAAGAGGGCTGTTGATGGCTTCAGATCATAGCAGCCCATTAGAAACATTGAAAAACAGGCCTTGTTAACGCTATCTCAGATGAAAGAAGACAAAAGCAGTTTCAGGAATGTGACCATAACAAGTATAATGGTGAAGAAGGTCTGCAGGACTATAGCCGTGACAACAGTCTTTTGTAAGGGAATTGCTGCTCTAATGAAAGGTCGGTTACAGTCAATGGAAAAGCTTTCATTGGCTTCAATGGACATGGGGATTATGCCCTAAAAAAGTAAATTTATATGGACTAAAATTCTGACCCCAGTGAAGTAAATAGCAAAAATTCCATTAGGTTCAGTGGGGTCAAGATTTCTACTTAGAGATTTATGTTAGTTATAGCTTGATGCCCTTGTGGATCAATAAAACAACATTCATACTCTAGGTCTATATACGCCTGCATTTAATCCAACACAATAATACATGGTGGTGATCCCACAAGTTATTGAAGTATCAATTTTTTTCAAACAGAAATAAAAAGTTTAGGGATATTGTTTCTATCTTGTTTCATTCAAGCTTTCAATAGTGATGCTTTTTCACAAATCTCCCAGCCAATTGTTTGGTGTTACAATTTTACCTTATTAATCTGTTTCCCATTTTATAATGCTTCATGGTTTCAGAAGTTTGGAAAACTTCTCATTTGTTCATCTTTGCTGTGTTTGTTGAACAAATTGCTGGTAGAATCCTGATAGATATCACTTATCGTAAATCAAACACCTCTCACAGAGATTATAGTTAAAATGTTCGCTGGTCTAACAGCCTGTACACCATCCAGCATCATGGCTCAGATATTGGCTCAGCTGACACACAGCAACTGGCTAAGCTGCAACAACTTGTGTTTGCATTCCAGTCCTCAGAAATTGCAGGTCTAGCTGTACCCTGGCTCAGATACAGTCCCTAATCCTAGCTCTGTGTAACAGAGCTCTTCATTGGGATATGTGGCATGAAAGAGTCGAAGTTGAATGTTTTATGTTTCATAGTTACACATCTAGCACTAAGACTCTGGAAAGATCCCTCATGTCCCTAGTTCTACTTTACCACTTGTAAGAATGGGGAAGGCAATTGGATCCTCTCTTTTTACTTACCTCTGCAGAGAAAAACTGCAGGGCTGAACTGCATGTCAAGCATAGGGCAGTTCATACAATTTCACCAAGCCATGAGTCCCTGCATGGGTAGAACTGCCCTTGTTCCAATGACAAGAAAATATCCCTGATCTTAAAGCTAGCAGGACACATTTTATGTCAAATCAATATCAGAAATCAAGCAGATTAATAAAATTACTGTTGTATCAGGTCTTATCGCCGTCTGTAGAGCTCAGCAAGGGCAATTGACACACGCTGCTCCCTGGAGTACGATGCTGTGGCTGTGTGCTTCCCTTTGGTTGACACTGTCATCATACAGAGGTCTATAACATCCCTTTTTGATTTAACAAGTACATTTCTTGCTAAGAATGAATAGATGTCATATGCTGGAGGAGTATACATCTTCCATTTAATTGAAAAAAATTAATGATCTCCATTGAACGTC